ATCTAGCAGATTGAGAAGTCAGGGCTATATTTTGGGGATTATCTTGTAACATAATGTAAAGTTTAGAGTGCTGTGGTTATGAAGTCATACGTTTTTAATGATAAAAGAATACCTATGGAAAACCAGGGGTCTGCTCCTTTCTCTTCCTCTCTTTCTCTTAAGATTCAGGGGGTACAGAATAACCTACCACCTCTCGTTCAAAGTACCCTTGGAAATTGAAGTTTATCCGAAGTGTTTTGTTGTCTTTAATTTTCTAGAATTGCCTGAGTGTTAGTTGATTTCTCTACAAAGCTGTGGAGGCTTAATGGTTTATGGAGCTGTATTTCACTTTTACTCTTTCTTTGGTGTCTTAACAGTATTTATTTCTGAATTCTTAACACAGTTTGGTAGGTGACAATAGATTCTTTTGTGTCTGACACTTATGGTGAGTTGTTTTTGAGATATGTAAGATTTCTTTGAGAACTGATTATCAAGCTCTTGATCTGCTTCCTTAAATTATTTTGTAAGAGCCCAAACCCAGGTTCAGGGTGAGGGTTTGTAATACAAAGAAAAAAAACTTGCATCACTCTGCCCTTAACACTTGTCTCTATTAACTAAGCTTAGTATGTAGTTTTTTAAAATATTGTCCAATGTTTAGTGTTTTCTGCATTGTTTTGTGGTTATTCTGATGTGTGAAATTTAAGGAAAGAGCCATTTAAAAAATGCCACACAGGGCAATGCAAGTACAGCCAAATATTAGAGTTGATGTGCAATCTTAGGTTCTTTTAAATCTGGGGTATTATAGGCAGTACTTTAAACTGAAAAGTCTTCCTGGCCTATTTTCCTCCACATATTTGTGAATACTCTGGGGGCTTACTTGTTTTGGCAGTAAGGAGCTTGTTCTTTTCTCCCAATTCTTTTCATATTAAAGAAAACACAATTAGCCTGTTAGCCCTATTCATCTACATAAAAGAATCAGTGAATGTTTTATTAGCACATTTAAGTACCTGTTTTACATAAAATTAGGGGCATATGAAAACCAGTGACTTTCATTCTCTTGAGCTTGTAAAATGCCAGTAATTAAAGCTAGAATTCCCCCGAACCCCCTTAAGTCAAGGAGGTAGAATATATTAAAGGGTCACTTAAAGAAGGTAGATGTTTTCAATATTTGGGTTGTATTAGAAAGATTCCTCCTATGGGGAAAACTAGCATTACAAAGTTTTCCAAACATTGGGAAGGGGAAATTCACTGTATTATGACCCCTAAGGGTTGTTGCACTTTTCTTTTTAGGCCTGGGTAACTATCACCATGCCTTCCGTCCAAATGGGCAAATGGACTCTTAGGGCAGCTTTATAGGTCCAAGGGTTAGTTGTACAACATGCACTGCTCAGTCTTTTGCTTTCTCTGGGAATTTGACTACGCTTAGTAGGGAAAAGCTGTTGGTTGTGCTAATGTAAAAATGTTGTACGATTAGCTCGACTTTTGAAGATGGTAAATTTAAGGAGTTGTATGTTGTTCTGAAATGCATACTTGCAGAATTTTTTTTTCTTTCAAAACAGGCTGATTTTACCCCTTTCTTCCTCCCCCCTCCCCCCTCCCTGACAGTCCCAGTTTCAGCTCCTATTTCAAGTTCTTGTGTCAGTTATTTTTCTGGTTTAAATTTCCCTTATATTTCCACCTGTAATGTCAGTGGCAACATCATACTTGTTAATTTACTTTACCCTTATTATAAGAGCAAATTGAGTTGAACTGAATCTTCCTTGTCCTAGTAAACATTGTATAAATTAAAGTGGCTTCTCTGTACAAAAGGTTGTAATGCCTCCTGATGGATATAATTTTGTGATTGTATTTAAGATTAAAAGTTGAACAAATCACACCAGCTTCCTGAAAATGTTCATAATGCATCATTTGGAAAACAAAAATACATGCCTACTTTGTGCATATTTGCATTACCATGGCAAAGATTGTATGAAATACCTGTTTTTCAAAAAATAAAGTCTAAAAAGATGTAGCATTTAAGCTCTGAATTTCTTGGTTGAAGTAGTTTCCAGAAAACTTAACTTTGCAATCTGGGTAGCTTTTTTTTTTTTTTAAAGCATTAATACCTCCAGAAAAGTTTTAAAACCTTTTCTACCCTCAAAGTGCTATAATAGAACTTTGAGGGTAGAAAAGCAGTGGAAATTTTACTTCAGTGGCAAAGTTCTTTTTAAGATATAATTAAGGTTCATTTTGTCAAAGTTTAAAAACAAAACTATAGGACATTATTGACATGTACGTTCCCTGGGGTGTGAAGACCTGAAGGAAAAGTAAAATGTCTGGTTTTACTATCTGGAAGTTAGATTGCATGTGTTGCTGCTAGATGTGTTAGGATTCCTGTTAACTGTTTTAGTCATCTGGCATGTTTCAAAAGATCACATCCTGTTTTTGTGGTACAAAAACAGCTAGAAAGCTACACTAAAGGACACTGTTCTGTTTTTTTATTACGCCCATTGTAATAGAGACCTTATAGCAGTGCCTCTGTGAAGTTGCATCTAGCTCTGGAACACTTTCCTTGAGGAACAAAATACTCCAAGAACCTGTGCTGCTTGAGCTGCTGAAATTTTTTTCACTACCCAATTTCACAAGCTGGTGTTGAAAAGTCTTCCTTCTTAAGTTGTACATAGGGAAACGGGTGGAAACCAGAAGCATTTCCCAAAGTAGAAATGTTAAGGTTTTGTTTTTAGAAATGTCACTTTTTAAAGCATAACTCAGGCCTCTCATTTGGAAGTAGATGTTTCTGTGCCTATATCAAAATTTTATACTCAGTCAATATATTCACTAGTTATGTGGCTGGTGATTGGGACCTTTTTCTTTTAATCTTCACCGGAGGATACTTTTCCCATTGCTTTTCAGAGTGTGGAAGGTGGGGGGGAATAGATTGGTTGCCTCCCACACGTGCCCCAACCGGGGCCAGGGATGGAGCCTGCAATCGAGGTACAGGCCCTTGGCTGGAATCGAACCAGGACCACAGTCGGACACTGTAACCACTGAGCCAAACCGGCCAGGGCTGGGGCCTTTTTCTTTTGAAGAGGGAGGGGAGGGCCTCACCCTCAAACTTCATAGCTTTAAAATCTCCCAAAATGGGTTCTCTAGATCAGCTCCCTGTACCTTACCTACATAATCCGTTTTCCACCCAATAGTCCCCAAAGTAGCACTTTATTGAAGAGTTCCTTTCTCTTGCAGAGGCCCCCTGCCCCTCCCTCAAGTGTTTATATGTGATCCAGAAGGTTTATTTTTCAAAGATCCTACCCTTTCTTGAAATGCCTAATGCTCCTGTGTCCAGCTTTCTGTGGTCTGTAGCTATAGTCTCTCACGTTTCTTTATGCTTTCTCTGAACTTTTAAAACAACCTGGTAGTTATCTAGATGTTTTAAAACATTTAAATTCGATGGCATAATACAGACGAGTATAAAAGGATAAAAAGCTTCGTGAGATTTCCTAAAACGGACATCTGACCACGTCAACATTTGGCATGATTTTGTTTAAGTGAAGTCAACGCACTTGTTACTTCCTTACGAAATCCTGGAGAGAAGACGCGTAAGTGCCTCAGTTCATCAAGTTCCTAAATTGCTTACGAATTCCTCTGCTTACGAGAGGGTTTCTGTCTTTCCTTGGCATGGTTTCTGATGTAAGAAAGGGTCTGTCAAAAACCAGCGCCCTTGGCGAAGGAGGTCGCAGTTTCCTAATCCAAGGGCCCCACACAGACAGACCCCATAGGAGCCAGCTTCACAAATCGATGCATTTCTCCCCCCACGATTTCTCCAACTATGCCCGGATTACCTCCCCTCCCCCCAGTCAAGCTAAGGACTTTTTGGTAATGGAAAGGAAAAAAAGCAGAAAATCTACATAAACAGCTCAAAACTTCAGGAGGTGGGCACGAGTCTCCGAGTCCCAAACCTGGGCGAAACTGCTCCGCGGCTGGACCGGGGCGGCCGGGGGC